TCTTTTCAAAGTTATTACCATTGTAGTAATTTTTGCAAAAAAATACTAATGGCATTTGGAAATCAACATTTTTTTTGACAATTTTTCTCCCCTAAAAATTGTATTCTGGGCTTTTTTGACGTGCCAAAATCGAATATCAACTTTATTTCTTGCAACCAAAATACGTTTAACCCACTATTTTACATAATTCAACAGATAGCTCAAATTAGATCAACCGCAGATTGATTCTTTTCGAGTTTTTCCAAATTACGTATAAATATTTTTGGGTTGTGACAATATTTAAAATATATAATTATTCTTATTTAAAATGACCTTGGCATAAAAAGACAAAACAAATACAATACTAATACAAATATAAATAACTTAATAGATTTTTATGGTTTTGACTTCTATGACAGAAACGTTCGGTCACATGACTACTATTTTTTTTTACTTAAACACAACAATTTAATTAAAATCGGATTCCGCGTCTGAAGCTTTCTATATGAGCCATTTACGCATATTGAAGAATGACAAACAAAACAAATAATAATAATTGATAACATTTATGTGCTTTGTTCTTGTTGTTTATTTAAAAAATAAAGAAAGAAATAATACAGTAATTTTGAGTGGAAATGGTTAAATTGAAATGTAGGTACTGACTTTTTAGAAATTATGTATTTAAGACAGAACATTAGCAATGGTAAAATAAATATTAATTTAATGTACTTAATTATTTTAATAACTTGCTGATGCTGGTAAAGCTAAAAATTAAAGTTTTAATTTAAAAAGAATAATGGTCCTAATCTATAGATATTAAATTATATTAAAACCAGTGGTTCCACCGAAAAGAAATTTTTATTTTTTTCTTTAATTTTTTCGTACTTAGCATATCTCCTATTATTAAATATGATATAGACGTCTTTTCTGCAGGCTGAAAGAGGATCGTAAAGAAGGGTTTCGATAAGGGGGTAGCCCGACAAACCATATTTCCTTTAGTATCTCTCTACCTGATCACCACAACTTGATTAAACTTGGCATATTTATTAAACTGTTGTTCCCCTGCCGAAAAAATTCTCTCAATATCAATCGGAAGGTATATACACTACTGGTTGAAACAATTATTGGTTTTGAATACACCACCTGAAGATAATTTAGACTTATTTCTCTGTTTTCAAGCCAGGCCATGATAACAGACAGCACTGATTAAAAAGCGGCGAAGTGTTTCATCCTTCATTCTAGTGTACTTGGTGTACAAACTTTAACAATAATATTTATTTATACATTACGGATGAAACTATAATGGTGAAACAGTGTGCAATTAACGGAAGTTATGTCTTCAGGAAATTGAAAAATGGCAAAAAGAAGGAAAATTCGAAAGGGTGTAGGATGAGATGAGGAGTTGTTTTCCGAGAGGATCGAAGACACGTTACCTCAACTGGTAGAGCAGCGGCGTATTTAATCGTAGGTTCAAAACCCGCTCGTGACACTGGTTTTTTATTTCAACCAAAATCTTCCATTAAACGATTAAGCAATTGAAACAAGTAATTTGGTCAATAGATTACTAAATATAATGTATTTAATAAGTAAAACGAAGTATAGCTTCACTAACAGCTCCCGGTGGCCACTTCATACGTCGCCGGGAATCGAATCTGATTACACGACATTTGTAAAAATGGCAAACAAAGCGAAAATTGGAAAGGTTGTAGGTTGAGATGGGTGTCCGAGTGGATCGAAGTCACGATAGCTCAAGTAGCAGAGCAGCGGCGTATTTAGCCGAAGGTCCGTGGGTTCGAATCCCACTCGTCACACTAACGTTTTTATTTTAACCAAAACCTTCTATAAAAAGATTAAGTAATTGAAAGAAGTAATTTGCTCAATAGACCACTAAATATAATGGATTTAGTAGTAGAAAAGATTTAGAAATACCCAGATTAGACTAGAAGGAAATACAAATTTAGACCTGAAACTAAACTTAGAACTATTATCTTCAAAATTCTCTAAATACATTTTTTCATTATATATTTCCCTATATATCGATCGTTCTTTCCATCTATGCACATGTATTTTTTATCTATTTCTCTTTGTTGAATTTGTTTCAAAACATTCCGTGGAAACAATTATATATAATTCATCATTCTGTCTGAATACGTTTCTATTGAAATTCTTTAAATACTTTGTCTGTATTATTATGATTCACAATGGGAAGCTATATATAAATGGGATTTTAATGAAACTTTTTTGTGATAACAAGACGAAAAATATTACCCACATACCCGAGGCTTCTCGGCAAGTGGCAACACAACAAAAACCAAATATATTTACTCAATGTTATAAATCGCAGGCTCTGAAGAAGATCTCAATAAACATCTAAACGTTGGCACGATAAAGAAAATGGTTTTCTAAAACCTACGTCACACCAGACCGCATCTCACGACCTCCAACTAATTATTTACACAATCTTTAATTATCATTTGTTTTCGCTTTTTTGGCATGTATTTAAAATTTAATAATTTGATACATCTATCATTGATTTTTTTAACCTAAGTTAATACGAAAGATCGCATTGAATGAGATTAGATATATAAAACCTTATAAACACGAAAATACGCTTCCAGTAAACTATGGAAAAAATTGCTTTTAAAAAGAACATATTGGATTCGTTTTAAGACCCGTTTACATTTTTAAAACAACCCAAGTACACATGTTTTTCCTGGATAGCCGGAAGCAGTTTCTTTTTCTCCCATGTCTGGTGTTCCACATAGAAATACATAACCCTTCAATATTTTAAACGAAGTCACGTTATTACAACCGTTAGAAAGCTAATTTTTAAAAATTTCATTTAATGTAATCGTTTATGCCGTTATAAATGAGAAAAAAAATGAATGAAATCAACAAAAACTACTCAACCCCTCTTTTTTAAATCTACGGTCCTAATTTATTTTCCATTATTGGTGGTTTATGAGGTTTTAAAGCGGTGTTCATCCGTCCAAGAAACTCATTTTGGATTGAGGTCGGGATCGAATTCAGGATCTCTGAGACCCGATCCCACCGGCATTTCAATTGATAAATGCCGTGTTAACTTTCATTGCGGCAACGTCTTTCCCTTATGCGTCAGAAAAATCCAAAGGCGACGGTGGTAATCGAACCCGCGACCGCCTAGCCAAGGGGCTGACGCCCTAACGACTCGGACGCCGCGGTTGAACCCTTGTCACATGCTGTGTAATGGTCCAGTCTAAAAATGTATATTTTTCATTTCGACACTTGTATTTACAAGTTATCAAGTTTTAAAAACAAATTTAAATTGTTCTTGTCAAAACAAATGTTTACTGTATGGGTCCTTTCGTTTTTGTACTTTGATACAAATAATCTCATTTACTATTAACCTGCTCATTATTTTCTTAAGAAAAACAAGTGACTAGCATAATAATAATTTAAGAATACATGCAAAATAAAGACAGAAAACGATATTTTAAAAAATTAAGAATATTACTTAATTTGTTCCAGGTCCTTTTCTTCAACTTGTGGCTTGTATCGCAAAAAAATCATTTATATCGGTGATTCCAAGTTAGTTTTAGACAATTTGGTGCATAATTTAACATTAGTCATTGAAGGAGCATTGAGTCCGGTTTGTGTACCACTGGAAATGTATTTCCTTTATTAAGGTTTCCTTATATTCCAATTCAACATAACATAATAAAACTATGCATATCTGTTGTAAAGTTGTGGCTCAAAACAGCACAAAGTATGTTTTGTAACTGCCTCAGGTGAACCGATTTCCGGACATACTTTATAAACTTATATAATGACGAAGATTTTTTTTTTTATAAATGGTATATTCCTCAACATCTGACTATTTATTGGAGTTTCAAAATATTCGTACAATCAATTTAAAATCGAATATCAAACGTTTTTAGAAACCTAGAAATTATCAAACGTGTTTTAGAATATAATATTATTTTGGTATAATAATAAATAAAAAGGGATGATTAGGGATAACCACTGCGTTAACTCACCTGAGGAAGGATTAAAATAAAACCGAAACGTTGTGGATTGAAAGAAAAACTCGTTATTTTTGAGATGATATCCCCCTTCAAGAAGGAAAAATCATCAGTTAAACTGTTGAGGTGGAAATATAAGAAAATAAATAAAAAATTCAGATTTTGTTAAAAATAATAAATTAAACCCCTTACTGGAATTTTGCCGTTATAAAAATATAAATTGCACTTACCAAAATAAAGTATATAAAACATTTTTTAGCCTTCATTAAAACAAATATCTTTCAATGCCAATTATAAGGTATTATTAATAATGAAAAAATTAATATCCGCTGTAGTAGCCCTTCAGCGAATAAGCCATTACTATTACAAACCTAAACCCTTCAAATTAGGCATTTCAGTTTTTATTAGAAACTCTCCCTGGAGGAACAATTTCCTCCTAATCTCCTTTATTCCGGTCTTTAAAAAAATTTAATTACCGTGATGGTACTCGCTTTACCGCATGTACAACTAAGCTTGTACTTTATTCAAGCTTCGCTTTGGGCCCACGAAACACTACCTGTGTGAACAGTTGTAAATAGGAAGTAAAACTTGGTCTTATTTAAGCTCATTTATACAATTTCGCAAACTTATTTACATAACGAGTTTGCATTAATGACGATAAATTAGGTAATTATTTAGGTAAAATAAATCAAGAAACCTAGATAATATTAATAAATATAAAATAATTAAAACAGTCCCCAAGCTATTTTTTGTGTAGTTATTTGAATGAATTGAAAACAAATATAAATGTATATATTTTTTGTAAAAAAATTATTGAAAACCCCTTTTTTTTACAGGCTACAAAATTCTCAGCAATTTACATTCAACACGTACCCATGAAGACAATAGAAAGTTAAAATATGCATGCTTATTACATCCTTTTTTGTACATTGTACAAATTGTATGTTTTACAGAGGATCAGAACCCGTCAATTGTTATTTCGTAATAAAAACAGGTTTTGTATTTTTTTATTCTAGGGGATGATGGGGCCGAAACGCCTGCTCCTCCTTTCCCTGGCATTTCATTTTGTGGTGAGCCTCCATGGACAAATTCCAAACTTTGGTAAGGAAGACATTCCTGTTTACAGTCATGTTAAGCAATCAAATACAAAGAGTCTGTATATTTTCTTTGCATAAAGCAGTGAACATTCAAATATTAAAAAAAAGCAATGTATAAAATTTAACGTTGTCTATAATGCTGAAAGATTAGCGAAGCTAAAATTTACCCTTCTCATTGAGTTGGGTTTATGAAAATCTCAAAAATGTGTAATTTAGAGAAAAAGTGATCTGATTTTTTACAATAGTTTATTATTAATAGTTTATTTTGTTAAATTATTTGAATGCGTCTGCTTCCTTTTACAATTTTTATTATATATTTGCATGTTTCTTGCGTAGAGAAACGTATTTTGTAATTTTTGTTTTTACAGATTTTTAAGCTGGAACATTATTTTATTTTTATATTCGCGTCAATATGGCGAACTATAATTGTTTAGTTTTTTCAGCAAATGCCTCTAATCTCAATTCCTCACCTAGGTAATCCTATCCTACCTCTGTTCCCACCCCAAATCCTTCTTGTCTAGTCCTGTTCGCTTATTATCCGCTTCCTAATCGCTTCCATATGTCCTCTAGTTAATCAGCCACCAACAGTCATTTTACTTTAGTTTTTTCTGATTTTCAAGAAGAGTTTTTATTGTACGTATTGACAATTATCGCGTTCAAAACCACGCAAGTGCCACCTTCCGCATCCTTACAGCGAAACATCGTCCAGTGTTTGGAAGGAGCCCCGATAAGACTAGGATTCTGCTTTACCTATGGCCAGGGTTGCTCCAGGTTTTAATTACTAAACTGCTCTGTACCTTGGTTGTAAAGGAAATCAGGAAAACCGTTGATAAATTAGCACTTTATTTTATTGCGACCTTCGGCTGGATTCGAATCCCGCTCGTGACACTAACGTTTTCTTTTCAACCAAAACCTTACGTATAAAGATTAATTAATTGAAAGAAGTAATTTGGTCAATATACTACTAAATATAATGGATTTCATAAGTAATAATATTAAATCCTTGTTTGTGCTGTAATTCAATTAAACATAATCAGTTACTTTCAACTTACNCATGCGAAAATCCCGAAATATAGTATTTAATAAGGGACTATGTTAAACCAGAACACATTATGGTCTTGCGGAAGTGTTGCACAGTGCGCCGTATTTCTCCTCTCTCTCTCTCTTTTCTCTGTCTGTCTGTCTGTCTGTCTGTCTCTGTCTCTCTCTCTCTCTCTCTCTCTCTCTCTCTCTCTAACCCCCTCTCTCGCTCTCTTTCTCTCTCTCTCTCTCACTCTCTCTCCCTCTCTCTCTCTTTCTCTATTAACTCTTTCTTATCGGACACACGCGCTCATACACCCACACAAAGTTATTGTTAGTTAAACAGTTACCACATTATAAAAAAAGTTTCAAAGTATACACACTAAACTACCACGACGACTATCTATTTAATATAGTTGATATAGTTAATATAAGAGAAAAATTCAAACATTAAGCATTCGACAAAGCCATATATTTGAAATTACAATTCATAGAATTAAAACATTGCCTCTAATAGTAGTTTTCGTACTTTCAAAATATCTGATGGATAATAATTTAAAAAAATCATAAAATCATGGAAACATAAATTAATTAATATTATATTGTCACATACATGATTGACTCCCCACCATAGTGACGTCATGGTAGGAGATGTAGGAAACAGGGGGGATAAGATTTAGGTGTATGCGACACGGCAAACAGGTCGGATCTCTTCTGCGTAAATTGGAAAATAATACTTTTAAAAGGGAGCCGTAAGCTCAAAAGAAAACATTATTATTTCTGTTGACTGGGTGTTTGGGAATTTATTGAACGAATGGTGACGGTAGGATAGGGTAGGTAGGGACATATATGTATACATTGTAAATAGGTTTTAATAAACTCTTATAGCAAAAGAGTTTTTGGCTTCTCCTTTGTGAACCTTCCCTTTTTACCTTTTCTTTCCCTTTTGGTGAGGAGGAACTCTTCTTACTCAGCACTCTGCCTTATTATTAACCCCTATATGTAGTAAGTGCTTCTCACAACTGGTAGCAGAGCAAAAAAAAAATTGTGTTGTGTTCGGCTTATTTTTATTTGTATATTGGTGATAGATTGGTGGTAGACTACCGCTATTTGAATTAAAAAATTTTGTATATAGCTCATCAAACACCTACCGTCGAAGAAGCGATTATACACCTTCGACAAGGCGTGTATTTTTCAGTTCTCGATCTTAATAGCGCATATAATTAAATACCACTCGCACCAGAATCACAAAAAATTACAGCATTCCAGGTCCCTTGGGGAACATACGCATACCGTCGAGTCCCATTTGGTCTAGCTACTGGGGGCCTAATTCTCCAAATGTTAATGGAGAAATTATTTGGAGATTTGATATTTAAATTTGTCTTTTATTTCTTTGATGACTTAGTAGTATATTCCTCGACATACGAAGAACACGTAAAGCATTTGAACGTAATCTTCGACCGGTTGCGCGAAGCTCAACTTACGGTAAATGTTGATAAACTACAACTCGTGAAAAAGAAAATAAACTTTCTGGGATACACAATAGAGCATAATAAGGTATCCATTGACGCGGAGAGAATAAAGTCTATATTAGAAATCCCGCGACCACAAACCACCCGTCAGATCTCACAATTCATGGGCGCGATAAACTTCTTCGCTCGATTTATACCCGATCTGGCTAAAATCGCTCAACCGCTCACTAACTTAAGAATAAAAGATTCCGATCTCATTTGGTCACGAGTTTGTCAACAAGCGTGGGAATTATTTCAAAAAAAAATAACCAGCCCTCCGGTTTTCAAAACACCAGATTTCACGCAACGTTTTGCGTTATTTACGGACGGATGTAAAAGGGGTATATCCGCTTGTCTCGCCCAACTGGGAAAAAAGCATGACGTCCGGGAGCATTTGCTTCCAGGAAACTACGAAAAAGCGAAATTAACTACGCGGCGTACGATCTTGAAGCACTCGCTATTGATTTCGGTCTCCGGAAGTTCAACATATACCTAGAAAAAGATGAGTTTGACCTTCACACTGACCATAAAGCACTCACTAGTCTAGTTAATATGGAAAATAAAAACGGTAGGCACGCTAGATTTGCGATGAGGCTTATGTGTTATAGATACAAGGTAACGGGTAAACAGAATTCTCTACCTGATTATTTGTCACGGAATCCGAGAAACAATAATAACGACCCCGGGTATCACCTGAACTTACTTAAAAGTATTCCCGAAGCCTTTAAAAATCTAAAACTCAAACAACAAAACGATCCCGATTTATCAACAACAAAATAAGGATCCTCTGACTCTATCACTACTGATGAAGGAGGCGATGGGGTTGCTAACCGGATGGTGTGGTGACAAAGGTCTTTCGATAAATCCTGCTAAACTGGAACTGATAATGTTCAGCAGGAGAAGATCAATAAGCAATTTTAAAAACCCAAAATGTCAGGGTATTGAATTAAAATTAAAGGATTCAATCAAATTCCTAGGGATAACGCTAGATAGGAAACTTGATTGGAAAGGCCACATCAAAAATATACACATAAAAATATAACATATTTCTATTAATATATAATAATGAATATAAATAATAAATATAAATATTACATAATTATACAATTAACCTATTAGTGTTTTAAATACCGCTTACTTTATGCTGAGTATATGATCACTTAGTCGGATTCATAAGAGATCGGGTTGTATTAGTGTAATTAAGACGTCTTATTCCTCAGTGGTTAAGTGCTTAACCTCACTTTAGTTGCCATCGAATAAGTAAGGCGATCTGGCCATCAAAAGCCCCTGCTATGTGCATACCGAAAAGATCCGCATATCGAGAGAATCAGCATTTCTCATAATTTATAAATTTAAAACGCCATTCTCCACCGGCTCTCCGATTAGGTCGAAATTGGGTCATCCATCAGCGGTTTCTTTCTAAACGATTTCATCGCACATCGACGTTCAAGTTGACACTACATTTGATTCGCCAACGACGAGGAGATTAAAGTAACGTTAGCCCTTTTGACAAAGAAAGATGAATCTTTCAAAAACATTTCCGTGTCATGTTGAATAAATGTCATCGGTATCTTTACATCTTATACTAAACTAGACACCGTACGACCAAGAGTAACCACAAATATAATAATTAACAATAATTGAAAATACACTAGAAACACTTCTTATTGAATTTTAGTTACTGCTTAATTTGGTCTGCCTATTCTCGGTTTGTTAGCGTGTCAGACGAGATTGTGTGATTTATGTGAAGTCAAGTATCTTTGATAAGGTGAAGGGGGTTAGTTTGTCTGTCCCTTTCCAGAATTAGGTCTGTTTATTTTTTGTTGATCCAGTCAAAATTTGTGATCGTTTGTTCGTTTGGTTTCAATTAGTGACGGTGTTTTCAATTGGGCAAATAATCCAAAATATTTTTTAAGGTCAATGACGAAAAACCGAATTACGCGACACACCTCATGAAAAATCACGACTAAACCTCTGAAATATAGATAAATATGAAACTACTGCACGACGTCGCAAAAGGGTGAAAAATGAATATACTTCAAAACTTAAGAATACACACGTATATCGCATTTAACGTAAAAAAAACTCATAAACACACAAAGTATCTTCTGTTCCTATACCCCATTATATACACCCCTTTATTTACCATCTCTCTTCCTCTCTCTCTCTGTCTCTATCTCTCTCTATCTAACTTTCTTTCTACCAATCTCTTTCTTTCTCTAATAATTAGACAAAACCAATCCATATTTCCAACAAAACATCGGCTTATCGTAAGAAAAAAGTTTAAATATGCCAGCTAAATTGGTTTCCCATATTTTCACCTCATTAAATTCAGGACCTGCCAACATTCAAGGCCGTCACATCACCAAACGTTTTCCTCTGCATGAAAAAGTTTTAATTTAACCTCAAGGCAGGTTAATTACACTGGACCATTATTAATGTTTATTGCGTTGATGGGAGTGAACTGCAAACC